ATAAAAACCGGCCATTTTATTTTTTAATCATTGTAATATACCCAGTGTCACTCACAATTCCGACAAATCTAAAGACACCTCACAAGCCAAAATCTATCAAGCTGTTCAGAGCACAGAGGGCCTTGTGTAAGTTTATTTCACTTCTATTCGTGTCCGCGATTGGTGTTTCGATTGGCCCGCACTGAAATCTTAACCAATCGCAACTCCGAACGGGCTCGCTTTCAAAAGCCAGTTAATGTACAAAAAACTTGCAAGAGCGTTCCAAAGAATTTAACATACATACATACAGACGAAAAGCATAACCTTCTGACGCAGTCAGGTAAGGAACATTACTTAATTACTAGTAAACAACTCGTTAATTAATTACACAGTTATAATTGATAATTTATTATTCAAGCATTGTTGTAAGTGTGTTAATAATAACACTATTTACTTACCTAATTATTATGTTATAGAGGAATAGTCATCATTGGAAGTTTTATAAATGATAATTATTGAATTAAGTCACTTGTACTGTTCAACAACATTTATTTATTTAGTGAATAAACTGACCGGTTACAAAGGGTATTATTTTTATTTAGGGGTATTAAGTTAGACTGCACGGATTGGCGTAGTTGTTTAAGCGGTCGCCACGCCACTTCTTATTACCCTGAGTGTTTGTGTGGACCCTGTGGGGACTTTACAAACACATATGAAACGGACACAAAGAATACCCAAACTCAGAACGACAATTTGCTGATCTCACAAAGTGTCGTCCCATGTGGGGATTGAGCCCACAACATTCAGCGCAGTAGGAAGCGGTGAGGTGACCACTTAAGCCACTACACATGGCAAGGGATCTTACGGCATATCTAGGCGCAGAAGCACACTGACGACAATTATTGCCGAGGAGTCCTCAGGCATGGCGAGGTGTGCTTGGGAATATCAAGTTGTTCTCAGGCATGCTGAAGTGTGCTAAGGAATGCCGAAGAATTTTCAGGCATGCCGAGGTCTGCTAAGGAATGCCACAGCAACAGCCTGGTCCCTAGCTTAATTTAGAACAGAGGCGATTAATAATGTGTTATTGATCAGTGACGGTGTGGACGATTCCTAGTTTTGACTCGGTGTCCCGAAGACTGTCGAAACCGGCCGAGGGTTAGGTATGCCTAAGGATCCCGAAGGCTTTCGAGATATGCCGAGGTGTAATGCCTTGACAATTTTGACCTACCATGCCGTGCAGATAGTGAGCGCCGGGCCTTTTTATTTAATACCTACTTAAAACAGTGCAAAAAAATGTGATATTAGACTACATTATGTTACATCCACACTTAAAGTATATCAGCACTGTCTATCGAAGACGTACGTGGTAATATTGATCACACAAGTGCAATGAAAGTTTTTTCCTTTAATTAATATTAAGGATGAGGCAGACCGCGGGCGGAAAGGCAAGCGGCGTGAGCGGCTGAAATGTCGAGCGCTGAGTGCAAAAAATTGACTTATTTAAAAAAAGAAAAAGGTACTTTTGGATACTATTTTAAGGTGTTTTTGTTGTACCTTGGCAAACAACCTATTATAAATTTTAATGTTATTTTGCCTTTTTTATATTTAGTAAAATATGGAGATTCCACCAACATCCTTGGCGTTAGAAACTTTATGTTTTATTCATGTCGGCCCTCTCGGAAACGAAACGAAAGACTATCTTTTTATGTTAATTTTTAAGTTTAATTTGTTATTTTCAATTTTCTTAAAATTATTAGCGTTTTATATTACTTACGGGTCTACTAAATGATTCTGCACTCTTATTATACCTTTATATAACACTTAGCATATTAACTAGTAGGTACACTATAACCTACTTGTACCGCATCACCGTTCCATCCCGCCCGCTGTCTGCCTCAACTATTAAAGAACTTCCCAACAACCAACCGTAGATTAAGACCGTGTTTATTCCGGTTTAAAATGAGGAAAATCGTATCTTCTTATGTTCGTTACGATGCAATATGGGAAACTAGAACGTAGCCTTGGTCTTCCCAAGATATTGTAACCTACATGGTGTTATTGTATTCTTCACTATTACATTATATTCGTCATTCAATACGCGCATTTTCTAAAAGATGCGCCTGCCCAGTTTCGATCAACTATGACGTAGAGATTCAGAAACCAGTCTTATAAATATATGGAGGTATATAAGGTTTGCTAAACACCATGAGATGGTGTAATTGATAGAAAAAGTGGTGTATTCATTTTATTATTTGACATGATTGTTTGTTATTATGTTGGTTACTAACGAATATTTATTTTTCAAATTTTCACTACACATAGAAGTCAAATTAACGATCTCTTATTGAGAAGTAGTAATCTTAGTATAATAATCACATCAACAGCCTTTAATAGGTGGACTGGACTGCTGGACATAAGCCTCTTCTTAGAAAGGAAGTTTTGGCCTATTATACCACGCTGGCCAGACGGGTTGGTATAAGGTTTGTTTCAAGTTTTCCTTCTCTTTGCAGTGCTGTTGTTCCGCGTAGTTTTCTCCCTTAGTTGGCTGTTACGACACCCACGGGATGAATAGGAGTGGTGACACTCTGTATTTTTAATCCCTCACCACACGGCATCCGGCACCAATGGTGGAGTATTCTTTTTAATGCTCTCAACTCAAGTTCAACTGGTTCGAACTTAATGAAATTTTAATCGTTAGATACTGCGATTTGCTTATTAAATGTCAGTTGATAAAATATTCGTTATTTTTGTAGTTATGTTAAAAATTCTGTGTTGCCTTGGTGTACTAACATTAAAAAATGTTTTTTCTTTCTTTTTCCTTTTAGACTTAAGACATGACACATAAACGGCTAATATGAGTTTCAATACGTAAATCTGTTTTCCTGTTACTACAACAGATTAAGAAACATAAATAAAATGACTTCACTTATTTATTAAACGGAAAACCAATCGGAAAAGAGGACAATTACGTGGTTCTTAGGACTCAGACGATTTAGAATTAGTTATATATAGGTATTATTAGCGGAGAATACCAAAAACTGTAACATATCTGTAAAAAGGTCGTTTCAGAGCGAGAAAGAGAATATATAGGTAGAGATATAGATATTAGCGTTTGTCCGAGGCTCTCCCCGCGTGTAGGCCGGTTATCGGGGTAAAATGTACCTTATGTTACTCGCTGATAATGTAGCTTACCATTGGTCAAAGACTTTTTAAAATCGGTTTAGTGGTTTAGGTGTGAAAGCGTAACAAATAAACCAACTCACTTTCACATTTATAATAGAAGTATTGAAGTACGGATTACAACACAAAGCTAATTATTTAAATCAGTTTTTATACGAAACGATACAAGAGAAATATAAAGTCTTTTTATATTATTCAATTATTAAAGAATTATCATCATCATCATCTTCCTACCATTGTCCTAAATTTAGAAAAATGGTAGGAAGCAGGAAAGTAGGAAATTTAGAACTTACAGCCTATGCAATGAGTTTTCAATCTTCGTTATACAGTCTTAGTTATACAGCGAAAGATATTTGGGAATTTCTAACACTTAGGGTCTTTCCTATTGTCACACCAAACAGCTTCGCAGCCCTTTTTCTGCAGGACAGCTTTACTTTCAGGGTTAACGGAAGAATGCAATCGCGATGCGGCCATTGGCAAGCAGAGGAACACGCTGGTGGTTTTTAGTCGGTAAAAGTTCGATAGACCCCCTCTTCCCCTTGCCTCTTGTCGAAGAACATCCATAAGGATCTTCCGCCCATTAACACAACAAAATGAGGAAACCCATAATAACATTAATAATGCTTTTTCCTTACCGTGTGGGTTAAACCAGACATTTGAAAAATCCAAAATTCTTCCTATTAACAAAACCACATTTTATCCACTCGTATTTTTTTTACTTATATGTTGCTTTTATCGTTGTAACATTTATTTAAAAAAAACTATATTTATTAAAGACTATGTATTGTATTAAACTCACATTTGCTTAATAAACGACAAAAAAACTAAGTAAATATCAATAGGCGTTTATTCGTTTAATTCAAACAGTTTAAAGCTAAATTACAGCTGTCTTTCTTTTTTTTTTAAAGACAACTCTCGCAGTAGTAATCCGTCCTGTGTCGCGGAGGACCTTTCAAACTTACATGAAACGAACACAAATACCACCCAGACTCAGAACAACAATTTGCAAATCGCACAAAGCGTGGTCGGTTGTGGGGATCGAACCCATAACACTTGTCGCAGTAGAAAGCGGCAGGACGACCACTTAAACTACTACGCCATTTGCGCAGTAGAAAACAGAGATAGATCACGGCATTACACTTAAATTATTTCCTTTGGTTTGCATTATATCAATGACATACATACATACTCATGTCTTTTGTCCCCAAAGTGGTAGACAGAGCCGTATTAACGCCCACATTTCGCCGACTAATATTTTAGTGACCCTAGGCAAGCCTATTAACGTAAACCAGGCACTAAATACATACATATTTTAAATTAATTACATCCAGACACAGAATAAATTATCGTACTCATTACACAATATTTGTCCTGAGTGGAAGTCGAACCCACGAACTTTGTCTTAGCAGTCAGAATCGCTAACCACTAGACCAAATTAATCGTATATCAATAAGTTTATAAAAAAAATCCATACAATAATAATACTACACCTAAAGTTCAGTTTTTTAATCTTAACAAAAAAAATATTTCTACATTTATTACACAAATAAAATCACTTAAAACTACTAATAAAGCACTTAGAAATAAATTAAATTGTAAATTTGAGTATTCTATTCTTTGTTTTAAAAATACAAATGTTATAGCCTCTTCTTTACTTCTTAATACTTTCACAGAAATTTACTTACGGCAAAATATAAAATCACAATTACAAAAGTTTGTGTCTGTCATTCCATGCCTAGTTAATCATTGATCCCATTTAAATTCGAAGTCTTCTTCTTTATATGTAACTCCAATAACATCAGGACACAATGAGAACATAGAACAATCCACAGAAATTCAAATTAATCAAGTAATTCTTCTTTAACGCAGCGATATCCTACCCTTACGTAATGGCTCGGACAGTGACGGTCATTGTAGTGGATAGTCTTCTTCCCGGCGTACTTCTTTTCATGTCTTAAATGTTTAGACTTAGTATCTGGAACATTCGGCATGATCTTGCGTTTAGAACGAATCTTCTCTTGGCAATCGCAGCCTACCAATGGTGATAAAACGGCTGGCAACACAGAATACGCGGTCTTATCGCTTGCATCATCTATCTGTCGAGAAAGGTCTTTCAGGTAGGACCACACAGCTAATTTGTCACTCTCAGAGTTGCACTCACAGTCCTTTGGGACTGCGGCAGCATTGGCCGTGGTTATCACGACAAGAAACAACAGTTTGGCAAACATGTTGGCTGTATAATATTCACAATTCGAATGAACGTGAATGCGTGGCGATCATCGCTTATATTTGCCGCAGATTTCATACTGACTCAACTCTTAATTAGTTTTGCGTTAGTCGCTTTTATTATTTATAGTACTGTTTGATACTATTGTATTATTACTAATGGTTCAGAGGAAATACAATAATTATGATTAGTATATTTTAATGATGTATTAAAGGTACTTTATACTAATAGTCTTTTATAAACCTGTTTATGTTTAGAGGAAAATGCACGAATGTTTTTTTTTATTTGAGATCTGCTATAAAGTAGTGGTAAATAACAAAATAAATAAAAATTGTTTATTACCAAATAAGGAGTACAACGTGACAACGGTGTCCTGTGGCCCCTCAACAAGCCAATCCTATGGGTACCCGATTCAATTTACACTACATTTAATTTTACATTGTTAGCTCGGACAACAAGTTAAGACCAAACTTACATAAAAACAATTTTATTAAATACATGCTAAGTTAATTATTACGTAGTGGTATAAAGGTACTTGTAGATCCATTCTAGTTCGGGATAAAAGTTAAAAAACACGTGATATCCATTTGACTACACGGATGGCGTAGTGGTTTAAGCGGTCGCCACGCCGCTCACTACTACGCTGAGTGCTGTGGGTCGGATCCAAACATGGGACGACACTTGGTGTGATTTACAAATTGTTGTTCTGAGTCTGGGTGTTCTTTGTGTCCGTTTCATGTATGTTTGTAAAGTCCCCCGCGAAACAGGAATTTATTCCTAGCGCGAAAATTGACTTTTTTTAAATACAAATACGTGATATCCAGTCAAAAGCTTATGAAACTGATAAGCCGTTTGAAAACATCTAGCGATTAACATGGTATAGGAATTTAATGACGCAGAAGTAAATAAACAAAATTTACCAATGTAGCCAAACGTATTCAGTTGAAGAGGGTCAGGCACGTAAACATTTTGGTGTCGGGTCTATCAGAGTTGAGACCATTATGGTAGTCTACATGTAGTCTACATGATGGTGGTTTAAAAAAAGAACACATAGGCCCAAGTGTGAGTTTATTTCATATCTTATTGGTACGCACTGAAATTTGCACCAATTGCAACTCTGAACGCGCTTGATCAATAATCGGGCCTTTCCTCTGCAGACTGCAGTGGACGTCTTTTGGCGGAAATGAAAATTAAGAAGTAAAAGTAAGTGGAAACAAGAGTAAGCCTCGGGGTAACACTTAGGCTGACCGTTACCATTTTTTTCTGTACGGAAATCCCCTTGGATACCTATGCGGTGGTTGTATTGGACTCGAATCAACTAAAAACCGCACGCCCTCTCGGATATCAGTAGCTGAGGAACCAGGTGTACCCTAGAAAAATAATCCCTTGTATTCTAGCAAATCACTTCACAGTGAGCACCGGTGTGCTGATTACTACTGGAGATTCCCACACGGAAATTAAAAAATACCAGTTTGACATGTTATTGCTTAAAAAAAGCAATAAAAGGAAACCAATGTCAAAAGTATCGCGTGGGCAGAAACCTTCGCACATTAGTCAGACTATAAGTGTCACAAAACTTTATATTATCATCATCAACAGCCTTTAATAGTCTGCTGGACATAGGCCTCTCCTTAGAAAGGAGGATACCACGCTGGCCAGACGGGTTGGATAGGGTTTGTGTCAAGCTTTCCTTCTTTTTGCAGTGCTGGTGTCCTGCGTTATTTTGCGCCTTTAGTCGGCTCTTACGACACCCACGGAGGTTGTGGGTTCGATTCCCACCCAGAACAAATATTTGTGTGATGAGCACGATCGTTTGTTCTGTGTCTGGGTCAAATTTTTCTATAATATGTGTGTATTTAGAAATATATAAGTATGTTTATCAGCAGTCTGGTTACCATAGCACAGGCCCTGCCTAGTTTGGGATCAGACAGCCGTGTGTGAGGTGTGTGAGGTTATTATTATTATTATTATATTATTGTACTCTGGTAACACGAAATACCGGTATTTTTTTTAGTAAAGACATTAACGAACGTTATGTAATAATGACGTAAGTAAGCTTTCAATGATACTAATCCCCACTTATTCCTCCTCCACACACGATAACACATTTTTTAACCAGCTAACATGGTGGTGAAAACATAATCCCAATTAATATTTTAAAAGCTAAAGAGAGTTTGTTTGTCAATGATGCTTTTATGCCTTAACTACTGCATTAAAACTACAAAAAAGTGGTAATCAAGTAGGTTAGCACAATGCAAAGCTAAGTAATCCTAGCCAGGTTAGTCTACGGATAGGTGACCATTCTTAATACATAAAGACCCCTCCGTGTTTCAAAAAGCACGTTAAGCCGTCGAATCCGACAACAATCCATCTACTACTACTTGGGTTGTGGAGGTCTGATGGGAGTCGCTCCGGAGATTGCAAGTGTGACGTAACGGTGGTTGATCACTATAAGCAGATGAGGGATACTGTAACCCCTGTACTCAAAGGCTGGCAACACACTTGAGTCACAGGTGTCCAAGCTGCGGTAATCACTTACTGTCAGGTTACTCATCTGCTCGTTTGTACCCCTATTCCATAAAGGACAAACATATGACTGCACGGATGGTGTAGTGGTTAAAGCGGTCCACACCGCTTACTGCTACGCTGAGTGTTTTGGGTTCTATCTCCACATGGGACGAACACGTACACACACATGGGCGACACTTTGTGTGATCCACAAATTGTTGTTCTGAGTCTGGGTGTTCTTTGTGTCCGTTTTCTGTATGTTTGTAAAGTCCCCCGCGACACAGGATATATTCTTATGGCGGGAGTCGTCTTTACAAAAAAAAAAGGACGAGGAAAATGATGATGCTAAGAGTGATTGTGAATTTTTATTGCTGTGGTCTTTTCTCGTAGGCTCTATCAATTATACCGCTCAATGTGAATTGAGCTTCTGATTTTCATAAATGTTACTTTGTAACATACATGAATCATCACACCAACAGCCTTTAATAGCCTGGCCAGACGGGTTGGTATAGGGTTTTTGTGAATGGTCCGGATGTCTTAATAACAGCAGTTCCCGGATCTCTCCTATTACAGGCGCAGAGTGGCACACCGTGTGGTTTTAGTCGGTCCAATTCCGACACACCACCCTGCCGCAAACCTCGGTGGGGTGACGGCCCGAGGGGGTTTCCACACGTAAAAAAAAAAGGGTTTTTGTGAATAAATCATTTCAATTTTATGTCATTTGGTAGGAAAAGTGTAAAAGTTAAAGTCCTTAAAATTAGTTGGAATCTGACTCTCGGCTTTGATGTATTGTTATTAACCGACTTTAAAATGACGAAGAGTGCAAACCAATTTCAATACAACTTTTTTTTAAATTCAATCGATTGTATTCCATACCTCCTAACATACGAACATCTGTGGCAATCGTTACGGGTATTTGGGGCCCTAAAAAGTCCCACAACAGTCTTTCTAGAAAACTTCGATATCGCCTAGTACTTGGGTAGTAGAGGTCTGATGACAGTCGCTCCACTTAAAAAATCGAATTTCAGTTGAGGTCAGGTTTAAGTTGACTACAATACGAGTCGACTATAACCTGACCTCAACCTAGTTTGAGAAAAAAGGCTCGGAGAATATCGTACTCTTGTATACGTACAATGGTGAGCGAGCAACGCTTCGGAACAAATGCCGAATCGGTCGGAGTGACCATGGACTCACAGGAACACAATGTTAAAAAATTCGTTAATTTCACTGAGTGAATTAGACTACCGGAGTAACACCCCCTACACCATTTTTTTTTTTAAGACCCGCGTTAGGAATTTATTCTGTGTCCCGGGGGATTTTACCATCATACATGAAACGAACACAAAGAACACCCAGATTCAGAACAACAATTTGTGGATCAAATCCCATGTAGGGATCGTAACCACAACACTCAGCGTAGTAGTAAGCGACCGCTTAAACCACTACACCATCCGTGCAATTATGAGGGGGCGCGACGTGCCTTTTAAGTTTCAGGTGTCGATAGGTGCCTCCAAAATCATAAGAAAAAAAAAGTCGATGTAATGAACCCCAACGTCCGATTATGGATATTGACTAAACCCGTTCTAAGAATATAGTCTGATTTTTTTTATATTAGAGAGGGCAGACGAGCAGACGGGTGATGGAAAGTGACCATCGCCGCCCATGAACGTATGCAACTCAGGAGTCACAAACGCGTTGCCGGCCTTTTAGGAAGGAGTATGCCCTTTTCTTGAAGGTCGTATCGGTCCGGAAATACCGCAAACGACAACCCGTTCCATAGATTGGTCGTGAGAAGCAAAAAGTGTATAAAAGTTATATATATTATATGGTGTATAGAAATATCATGTATAGAAGTTAAAGCCACTCCTGACGAAAGGTCAATCACCACCCTGACCAGCTGTACTCAAACACCTCAAACATCGTGATGAACCCAAGTCGTGATCACGAGTGGGTGTTATGTAAACCAGTACATATGTATCCAAGTAAAGGGTATTTTACACTGTTGATTTTTTTTAAGTTTTTTAAACTGTATTTTTTTTTGCTTTTTTAGTCATTAATGATTAGTTTCTAATTAAGACTAAAAAGGTAACAATAAGTAAATCATAGAGTATTATCATTCAGCACACGCCTCTTAGTACGTAGCAAAAAACACTACCATATTTTTAGGAATGGAAAAAGCCGTTAATCCTGAAGATACTGATCAAGATAATCGGCCAAATTTATCAAATTATTATATTGTTGGTCCTTGATAAGTGTGCGAAGTTTCAAATTAATTCGACGTTTTGAAGTGGGTCAAAACCACGGTCGAAGATTCCGTAACATACATACCAATTGATACTAAGCTAATAAAAGCGTGTTAATTAAAAATAAATGATAGTTTAAAAAAACTAAAAAAAAAACTGCAAGTTCAAAAACAAAAATAATTTTATCGTAAAAATGCGTGGGGTGTTTCAATTCGTAGATTTCAATTGTTATAAAAATATATTTTATTGA